AAAATGCTTTCAATATACCAATACAAATATAATACAGTAGTTTAGAATTGCCTCAAAAGAAATTACCTGATCTCTATTAAAAATACCATTTCATCATTTTCCTATAATCAATGAGGCATACTAAATTAATCTTAATCTTGGAAAAAACCTATCCTATACATCCATAATTTTTCTTGTTATATAACCATATAACATAACACATTTTTCTTTTCCTAAATAATGCAATGCACTTTAAAAGTAGCGTTAACTCTAAATACTCCCCTAATAATACTGAAACGTGGATCCACGATTTTGAAAAGCAAATGATATATTTTTTCTTTTTCTTTCCCAGGGGCCCCTTTCTTGTTGGCTGATCAGCGTTTTTTAAATCTGTTGTAAAAAGACACTAAAGGCTTGCGTTAATGACATGCAAATATTCTTTAAATATTCTTCATACTCATTGTAATATCACACATCAACTTATAGCACAGAAAACATGTAGCAGATATCCAGCAGACATGCCAATACCAAAAGCATATTCATGGGCAGGCAATTAACTCAATCCAAAATAAATTAATAAATGTCACACTATGTGACGGACATAATTTGGTTCTCATATTTGTGCATTATGCATGTCTGCAAACAATGCAAGCAGTACTACTTTAAGATTAGATCAGAGCACCTGGCAACTGGACAGGAAAGTCAAATTTTGGCAGGAAGTCCATTATTGCAACAGAATTTTGGAAATCAGCTAAAATTTACAAAAACAGACTCCCTCTTTTTTTCTTTCTTAAGACTACAACTCATATTGCTCTTGGACTAGTATTCTCTAATAAATCAGTTATTTAATAGATTATTACGCTGCCATTTTCATCTGTATCAATACTAAGACAAACTTATTCAAATATAATTTAAAATAACACAGCAAAATACCCATTAACATACATGACAATTAAACTGCATACTTTAAAATGAGTAACCAAAACAAACATTTATGACAATCATCATTCACACAGAATAAACTTCTAACAGCTGTATTCAGAACATATTATTGTAAGGTATACCAATTTTAGTTTGTATTTGGATTTATTTAAGCGTTCTGGTACCAAAGGGTTTATTTTTTCTTTTTAAAGAAGGGATCCCGTAAGGCCATATAACACGTTTGACTTAAACATTTGTATAACACTTGCATTAACCAGTTGCAACATATGAAACCTGTCAATGGAATTTCTCTCTTATACGCTTATAGAACATTTGGACCAGATTACACAGACATGGTATCACCTGCATTTGTCAGAACTCTCAAAGACTCAAAATATTTATACTACTCCATGTTAAAGGCATGGCAAAATTTTGACCGGTCAGTTTGAGTTTCCAAAAGTCATATCAACACAGGTAAAAACCTTTGTCCATGGTTTTCTGATCCTACATTCCATGACCAAAATTTCAAACCAACTTCTTCACAGTTTGGGTCGCAAGCAATAAAATCTCAGCAACCCCATACAATAATTTACAGAATACATACAATTTAAAGCACATACAACATGTGACGTACTGGAATACTACAAGTTAGCTTACAGCACAATATGAAGCATGTCTTGGAACGCTGAAAATATACATTTTGCTCTCTAATTCATAATCATCTAAATTTACAACAAACACTCAGGGCAGAAAGAATGTGGTGTTTGACGTTTTGAATGAAGTGACTTTTTGTCCCAATATGAAAATAAAGGGCTCATCATATAAACAATCATACATCCCACTCTCATGAAAAAGTGTAGTGGGCTTATAGTACTTTTGACCAAGTATAAAAATAAGGGCTCATTATGCAAACAAACATACATGCAGAGAAATCATGTTAGTTCTAGAATTTGTAGCCCCCCTTAAATAACCTCTAGTTTTTTTCTTATTCCTCATCACCATTAGATGTACTTTTTACATTCCCTCAATTAAGACTTTATGCTTAAAATCAGCGTTGCACATCATAAAATAGCACATAAATTAGCAAGCCGGAGTAATGCCAAACATCCATCATACCTTTTAACCCCCTTTTTTTTTTTTTAATAACCATTTTAGTCTGCAAAATTGACATCTACATTAAATAAATACCACAGTCCACCAAAGACTGGAAATCTGTTTTATAACCTACCAAAGGCAACCTCTACCAAAGAGGAATCTAGGGACGTCTCCCATATGTAAATGTACATCACAGGACATCACAGCCTACCAAAGGCTTGAAATTATTTTTAACACCTGGCCAAAGGTGAACCTCTTACCAAAGAGGAAATGTGCACAATAACTACTACTACCTACCAAAGGCAATCCTCCAACCCATGGAGTAATAGAAGTCTACCTAAGACTTAACAAAATACCATGTCTACCAAAGACATTATCCTGTGAAAATCCCTTTAAAAATGTAAATAGTGAAAAACCCCATTAAAACAAGAAATGCAATGTGTGGGAGGATGGCAGAAGCAGGCAAAGGTCCCCAACCCCTTAAGGACACACGACAGAAATACTCCGTCATGATACCCTTAAATTCCAGAAGTTGTGTCCCCAAGGGGCTAAAGACCCTCTTACCTGCTACTCCGTTCCCAATTGCACCCAAAAACTTCTGACACCAGTTTGTTGGGGATAAAATCAGCCTGGGCCCTTTGTGGATGATGGATATTTGCCAACTCATACAGAGCTCTGGAAATTGGAAATGAATAGCAGAGACGTGTTCAATAACCAATTCAAATTGTATTCATACGTCAGTTATATTTATACCCCATTTTCATAGCAGGATGGGAGGGGGAAAAAATGAGCATATGGGCGTGACAATGACATTGTTTTTCACAAGTTATAAACAGCTGTTTTTAGTTATAATTCGATGTTACATAATGTATGCATATTGGATAAAACCCAGATGATTACAAATACAGAAATCTTGGACAATTAACAAGGTCATTCCAGAATCCTTATCATGTCATGTCATGTCGTGTCGTGTCATGTCATGTCATGTAAATATCATTTTCCAGGAACATAACATGTTTCAATAACATTTCTGAGAATTGGAGATACAATTCCAAATTTATTCTTGATTCAAATTAACCCTTACATGAACAGTTAGGATATAGAGCAAAATGGATATTCATATCCTACAATTCCTCTCTTTAGATCATATCGTGATCTACCTTATGGAATATCCATGGGAGGCCTGCGGCAGAGAAACGAAAGGAGGTATATTCAGACGTGCTAATCACGTCTGCGGGACTTTCCTTATTTCTTCACCTCGATTTCCCCCATTTGCTCTATGCCGTAGGTTTTCCCTTTAAGAGGAGATCGAGCTGTCGATTTTCAGCTTCTGTAATCATCTGTTGTACACATCTTTTAAGTGTACAAGTTAAATATTTCAAACAGCTGACATCTTAACCAATTTTAAACATACTGCACATCATGTTATCTGTAACTTGAGCCTTGGATCAAAACAGGCAAAGTGTATTATTCCTAACAACGGGAATATTATTATTATAATTCACAACGTAAACACATATAATCAAAAATGGGAATAAAATCTATTTCCCCTCTTTGGACCAGGGTCTTGGATTACCAGTCCACCCAGTGAACTTGGGCCAGGTCAAAAATCCCAGTGGCAAAAACTCATAATTGAGAAAAAAAGCACATCTGGGTAAATTCTAAGTGAGGGCCATGACTGTGTAAACATGTCATCCCCTCACGTTGACAGCATTAGTGACTTATAAAACCTGCACTATGTAAGTAAATAGCTCAGGTATCGGGATTGGGAAACACTTCTTGATTAGTTTGAAAAGGCCCACTTACATATTAAATCATAAGATCATTTCTAATCAGTTTGCAATTCTAGCAATAATCCCAATCATGACCTTGCGTCCTATGCCTCCTAATCAAATCCCTATTTCGATAGTCCAGTCATATCCACACTTAATACATTGGAATCCATCCTTGGTACACTCAACATACATCAATGACACACATAGTACATCCATGCCTGAGTAAGCTAACACTTCCTCTCTCTCCGGCTAACTCTACAAAAATAAAAATAACAAAATAGTTCAATAGTCCAGCATAGTCCAGAAAAATATTATAAGTCTTTCAAGGAGTATAAAGAATCTTAGACACCATAAACTTTGTTCCATAATCTTAGACACCATAACATAGCTAAGTGTAGCAATATGGCTGACAACAAGACAATGTCAGCTTCCACATAGTTCTTAATTCTTCTGTTTGCTGGATGTTCACCACAATACTCTGTGCAACACCCCAATTGTTGAAAGGGTAATACAGAAATAGCGGCATTAGACAGCACTGCATCTTCAGGACTTTGTGGATGATGGATATTTGCCAACTCATACAGAGCTCTGGAAATTGGAAATGAATAGCAGAGACGTGTTCAATAACCAATTCAAATTGTATTCATACGGCAGTTATATTTATACCCCATTTTCATAGCAGGATGGGAGGGGGAAAAATGAGCATATGGGCGTGACAATGACATTGTTTTTCACAAGTTATAAACATCTGTTTTTAGTTATAATTCGATGTTACATAATGTATGCATATTGGATAAAACCCAGATGATTACAAATACCGAAATCTTGGACACTTAACAAGGTCATTCCAGAATCCTTATCATGTCATGTCATGTCATGTCATGTAAATAACAAAATCATGTTCCAATAACATTTCCCGTAAATAGATAAGTCATTGTGACATGAGATACAATTCCAAATTTATTCTTGATTCAAATTAACCCTTACATGAACAGTTAGGATATAGAGCAAAATGGATATTCATATCCTACACTGACAACTCAGCAAAGAAAGCAGCAGCGGGTACAACATCATCATCATCACACCGTACATGTGTAATGCTGCCTGATTGAGACATATCCCTGTTATCTACATCCTCTGTCAATAATGGTTGTGCATCACTCATTTCTTCAAACGGATGTGTAAATAACTCCTCTGACATACCAAGTGAAGCGGCTGTGGTGCTAGTGGTGGTGCTAGTGGTGGTGGTGGCGGCAGGCAGGTGAGTGGTATCTTGAGAGGTGCCTGAAGCTAAGCTGGAGGAGAATGTTGCGTCAAGGTTCCGAGCGGAAGCTGTAGAAGATTGGGTGTCCTGTGTTAGCCAGTCAACTATGTCCTCAGAACTTTTCAAGTTCAGGGTACCTGGCCTCTGAAAACTGGGCATTATTCTAGGGCAAAAGGGAATCACAGCACCACGACCACGACAGCCCCTGCGGGGTGGCCTGCCTCTGCCTGTCATTTTTTTTCTGATTAGTGGTACTATGCATGCAAGCTACTGTGACACCAGATATGAGTGGCACTGTGAACTGGCAGAGGTTGGCAGAGTACACGCTGTAAGGCTGACACACCCGCTTTGAGACAACTAACTGCTATTCAATCAATAACAGTGAAAAAAGTTTTTTGTTTTTTAATGCAAGCTACTGTGACAGCAGATATGAGTGGCACTGTGAACTGGCAGAGGTTGGCATAGTACACGCTGTAGGGCTGACACACCCGCTTTGAGACAACTAACTGCTATTCAATCAATAACAGTGAAAAAAGTTTTGGGGTTTTTAAATGCATGCTATTGTGACACCAGTGAGTGAGTGGTGGCACAGGGCATGTGGGCACAGTATACGCTGCGAGCCTGACACACAGACGGTTGGAGACAACTAACTGCTATTCAATCTATAACAGTGAAAAATGTTTTGGGGTTTTTAAATGCATGCTATTGTGACACCAGTGAGTGAGTGGTGGCACAGGGCAAGTGGGCACAGTATACGCTGCGAGCCTGATACACAGACGCTTGCAGACAACTAACTGCAATTCAATCTATAATAGTGAAAAAAGTTTTTTGGTTTTTAAATGCACGCTATTGTGACACCAGTGAGTGAGTGGTGGCACTGGGCAAATGGGCACAGTATACGCTGCGAGCCTGACACACAGACGCTTGCAGACAACTAACTGCTATTCAATCTATAACAGTGAAACTTTTTTTTTTTTAAATAGAAACATAGAAACATAGAATGTGACGGCAGATAAGAACCATTCTGCCCATCTAGTCTGCCCAATTTTCTAAAAGCTTTCATTAGTCCCTAGCCTTATCTTATAGTTAGGATAGCCTTATGCCTATCCCATGCATGCTTAAACTCCATTACTGTGTTAACCTCTACCACTTCAGCTGGAAGGCTATTCCATGCATCCACTACCCTCTCAGTAAAGTAATACTTCCTGATATTATTTTTAAACCTTTGTCCCTCTAATTTAAGACTATGTCCTCTTGTTGTGGTAGTTTTTCTTCTTTTAAATATAGTCTCCTCCTTTACTGTGTTGATTCCCTTTATATATTTAAATGTTTCTATCATATCCCCCCTGTCTCGTCTTTCCTCCAAGCTATACATGTTAAGATCCTTTAACCTTTCCTGGTAAGTTTTATCCTGCAATCCATGAACCAGTTTAGTAACCCTTCTCTGAACCCTCTCTAAGGTATCAATATCCTTCTGAAGATACGGTCTCCAGTAC